AAAAAAAAAAAAAAATACAATTAGAACTACGTTAGTAATTCTTAGACAATTTCGGCGATGGAAACGCCAAAAGGTAGAAGAAGATAGTCAAAAGAAAGAAAACAGAAACGACTCTCGTGAGTTTGATGTGCTACAAACATAGTTGGCTTTCTTTCCCAGCTCTCGAAGTAACTGAAGTCATTCTTAATTCTTAAAAAAGAGACATCTTTTTGCAATATAATAAATCCTTTATTAACCAAGCGCGAGGTCAAGATGGCTGGATTTTGGCCGAATTCTTTTCATTTTTATGGACCTCGACTTCGTCTCGGTCCATAAAAATGCGCTGAAACCTGAACCTGAAACTCTTTATTCGCACTATTTCAAGAGGTTACTACAGATTATAAAAGTTAGAATATGTAAGAAACAGTAAATTACATCAATAATCAAAAGTAAAATCTGCACAGTGACCAAAGTAGCACAGCTTTCGAGTTGGCCACTGTCACGAAAAGAATGAGGCTAATATCCAGTGCATATGTATTATATTTAGGTCTCGCTTTTTTATATCCCCTACAACCAAACTCACTTTGTACTACACCTTTATTTATCCTTATATCGTGTATTGTAACTCGGCCTGGTCGTCTTTATACCTATGTAATTTAAATAGAATTTACTACTCGGAAAAGCGAGCTGTGCCGGCTATCACCAACTCAGACTGTCGACCTCCTTTATTCTTCAAACTAGAAATTTAAGAAAATTTGCATGTCAGTACGTTTGAAATCGCCAGACTTATGTTTTATTATAATAATAACTTGTTGCCCCCATTGCTTCTCATTCTTTTTGCAATGAATAGCCAAATTCACAACTATGGTAACAGAATAGCCTGTAATTATCGAACACATTTGTGCCGTACAGATGTCGAGCAATTTACAATTCTCTACCAACATCCTAAAATTTGGAACTCTCTCCCTATCTCAGTCACTCGTTCGTCAAACTTTCTTAGCGTTAAGACGAAAATGCAAGAGTTTTTACTTAAAATAATCACTTAATTGGCCAAGCCGCACATTCGCAGCACTTTTTCTTTACTTGACTATTTCTTTACTATTGTAAGCGAGGTGGCTCTCCCATAAGCCCGGTGGCTTCCTGGGTCTCTTCGTCTTTTTGCTGTTATTGCTGTAAATAAATCTTTGTATTGTTAAAATAAGGCAAATAAAGATGATGATGATGATGATGATTATGATGATGAATGAATGAATGAATGAATNATTCCCCAGGCTTCATAAGTCCTTGCCTTACACGGTATTGGCTCCAGCCCATATTCGTGTATTCTTCCTTCTGAAAGTGCCACACAGATCTGGCAATAAAGAGGATACTTTGGCTTCCAAAATTTTCCAATAGCGGTTCCAGTGATGTTTCCTATTCCATTCAACTTCCACGACAAATACTTGTTATATTCAGTCTCATTTCGGCTTAGGAACTTAAGATAATCTGAAAGATCTTTTGGGGTCTTAAAATCACGGACCTTAATGACTGAGCGTCGAAGATTGCCGGGCAGGAACTCGTCGAGTTTATCCGTACCCATCACCACAGGAACTGAGCCTGCATTTAAAGCATGATCCAGTTGTGCATCGACAAAATAATCACAGTCCTGATTAAAAAATACAAGAGTAAACTTGTACTGTTTGGCCAATTCAGTTTTCAGTTCTAAGAAGTTTGATCCGTTCCTAGTTCCATAGCGTTCCACAAGATCATATTTGTTCTTAAGACAGGCTCCATAAGAATCGACCTGCACAAACTCCATCAATTGTCTCATGTATTCCGTCCGCACGGGCTCACAGTTTGAGAATGCAGCCATTATTAGTTTAGTCTTTTCCTTAAACCTTAGAGGTGGTGTTGCCTCAGGCATATAAAAGGTTGGCCAAGGAAAATCATAATCTAAACGGTAGCTTATTAACAGTTTAAATCTGGACATAAACTCGGTGTTGTTCATTACGGGAGTGTACACTGGATTTTCCTGTGTGTAAAGGATCCACGGAACAGATTCTGTTGGAGGTATCATGTGCGAATCCCTGGCGTGGACCACGAAGCCGTCTGCGTCACAGGCTCGAGAATGATCAGAGGTGACCTGACATGCCACAGGACAGTCACTTCTATTCCATTTAAGCTCAATACGTGGTTGTTTTCCGAAAACTGTCGACCAGAACAAAATTAGCCACTGATCCGTTTGATTGTGGTTCTTACAAATTAAAGTATTTCTTGGTAAAAAATACTTTTTCTTGATGTGATAAAACAGAACCAATGCCACGGAAACAAGAAGAAAAACAAGCTTTAAAACGGAACGCTTCTTTGACATTCTAGATGCCGATTTAGTTTTCAGGATTCACCTGTGAAGCAAAACATGTTCATGATCAGGAAATTACATTGGATGATATTATCAGTAAACATCTCTTTTTGCTGTTACGTTCCATAGAGAATAATGCATTGATGCGCTAGATATTGAATTTCCTAACGGTGTTCCACCGTTACATCATGAGTGAGCGGAGCGAACGAGTGAGAAATCGAGTTGAATACGAATGAAAATTCCATATCTACAAGCGCCATGTACCTCACTGCTACTTAATTTCGTAGGTGTGGCGATATCTGTATTCTTTACTTCGATTTTTTTCTGGTTTTTAACAGTTTCAATCTTATTACTTTCTCGTGATTCACCACCATAAGCTGAATCAGTATGTCACTCAGTTAGTGCGTGCGCAAACGTTTGTTTTAGGTAAAATCATTATTAAAATTTTGACGGGATGCCAAACCTTTATCTCTAGCATATATTAAAATCAATTTACCATTTCAACTTTGTTGATATATCCAAATTATTTCTTTATCTCTAGTAGCGAGTGGTATTAGTCTATTTGCCTGCAATGCAGGCGTCCTAGTAGGGCGAGTTAACGTTATAAACTCGACTCGTGATCGTTTATCCGCCATGTTTGATTTTGAGTCAGAGTGGACACTGGGGGTAGGGGGTGGGGTAAGGGTTAGAGGGTAATTTGCACTCCCCCCACCCGAGTCCCTCTCCTTATTTTTGACCGTTCTTTCCTTCTTTTTCAGCCTTACGCTGCTATTAAAATCAAAGATTGCGGCCATTCTTTGCTAAGAAATTACTGAGCACTCTCTCGCCCAAATTACGCCTGCCCTGCGGCCTATTAACTCATTTGAAAGCGATCAATGTCAAGGTTTATCCCATAATCAGAACGAGGCTGAGGCCGAATTAACACTTTGTCGAGCATTGTGGTGCATTTTGCGGGCTAAGATGGAGAATATTTTTAGCCCCCTGAAATAGACCAATGAATATCGAGCATTGAACAATCTTACGATGAAAGCAGCTAATTACAATCGAGAAGCCATTGCTGTGTTTGCACCGATTTCTTGCAGCGTTGGTGAAAGAGAGATCAAAGCAACTTTGCGCCATTGACATCCAACACAAGGGATTACTCAGCCGTTCAGAAACGTGCTTGTTCGGACATTCTTAGTCATCCGTTTCTTTCTGGAGGAGTTTCTGTCAGGAGCTTCTGTATGTGACGGACTGTAGTCTTTAAAAGTTTTTATTACACGACTCGGGCAGTCAGAGGGCCAATAACTAAAATCAACCAATCAAAATGCTCTATTGCCGGTCAATATTCTCTCAGTATTGGACCGGGCACTGTTCTGAATGGTCCCGACTGATGTCCCTTTGAACTTCAGTCGTATAATAAATCTGTGCAATATTTTTAGCCCCCTGAAATAGACCAATGAATATCGAGCATTGAACAATCTTACGATGAAAGCAGCTAATTACAATCGAGAAGCCATTGCTGTGTTTGCACCGATTTCTTGCAGCGTTGGTGAAAGAGAGATCAAAGCAACTTTGCGCCATTGACATCCAACACAAGGGATTACTCAGCCGTTCAGAAACGTGCTTGTTCGGACATTCTTAGTCATCCGTTTCTTTCTGGAGGAGTTTCTGTCAGGAGCTTCTGTATGTGACGGACTGTAGTCTTTAAAAGTTTTTATTACACGACTCGGGCAGTCAGAGGGCCAATAACTAAAATCAACCAATCAAAATGCTCTATTGCCGGTCAATATTCTCTCAGTATTGGACCGGGCACTGTCCTGAATGGTCCCGACTGATGTCCCTTTGAACTTCAGTCGTATAATAAATCTGTTATTAACCAAGCGCGAGGGCCGTACTGGGAGAATATCGGCCCGAGGTCTTGACAGTACGGACCGAGCGCAGCGAGGTCTTTTTGTTCGGACCTCGCTGCGCTCGGTCCGTACTGTCAAGACCTCGGGCCGATATTCCCCCAGTAGGGCTCTCTCGCTTGGATAATAAGATATATATGTAAGTTTTGCGGCTTAAAGCCTAACGCACTCAGTTTAACCAACTATGCCAAACTGTCAGTTGTTTCAACAGCTTCATCGAATTTTCCTTATAAATGGCTAGATTTTGTAATTTCTTGCCAGCTTCGCTTGATGGTGAACTTTCACGCTAAAAGCCGTTCAACTTGTAGACACTTGAGTGATTGTTTAGACTGTTTTGTTGTCACACTTCTAGTTTTTAATTGGTCAATACCCTCCAAAGTGACAATGGTAGTGACGCAGTTTATGTTCTTGGGCATAAATATGTTTTGGGCCCTTCTCAGAGCTCATGACTCTGAATCGGGCCCAAAACTTATATTTATGCCCACAGACATAAACTCTCCTGCTGTTAACAGCAGTGTCAAAGTTTGTTTTCCCTCGAGTCTTAATGTCTCCAAAGGGGATGAAGTTTTTAAAGGAACTGGGTTGCTGTAACAAGATAATTTTGATTTCATTTGCTCTGACGAAGGACCAATGCTTGAAATCAATTCAACTTACGTGTAATGTTTCCCAGGACATGGTCTCGGGAAACACTGAGAATACAAAACTATTTCCCTCGGGAGCAGAGTGGTCTCTATTTCTTAGGGCTTCTTTTTAAATTTCTTTTTTTTTTATCGAAAACCTCGACACAACTGCAACTAACTTACACAACTGAGTTGATAATGTAAATTTGCGACTGTTAAGAGATCTAAAGCTAACGTTTCCAGTGCTAGTAAGTCAAGTAAATTCTAACGTTGAAATGGCTGAAGCAAAGCTGATATAGAAAGGTTTTTTTTTTTGGTTGTAACGCCTTTCAATGCAGAGTGTGAAGGGAAAAAATTACATACCAAGATTGGTGTGGTCAAGATACTAGAACAACCGAAGATTGTCGACTGTTCACAAAGTTATTACTTTCTCTTAGGCCTTCGTCCAAAGACGCCCACAATCTTCAACTTACCGCATTCAAACCAGTGTGGAATGAAGCAGATTGCTCAAGGAATTTCTTCTCTTGTCGCCCAATGTTTGTACTGAATAATTTTGATTTTATCATTCGCTAACACAATACAAAGTGAAACGAAGCGTAGAAAAGGGAAGCGGTAAAAACGATTATGACTGAAACACGCTATTTTTTCATC